CAGCTAGACATCACCACTCACCGTCAACTCTTGGGCTACTCTTTTACCAACGAATAGTGGGATTGACCGTCACATTATAACGTCCCCACGGCTGAAAGGGCGAGCATGTTTGATGAGACGGGGATTCGAACCCGCGACCCGCAGATTGCGAGTCGAGTGCCCTAACTACCTGACCATGCCGGGCCGATAAATAATTATTTAGATCTTTATGAATTTACATAATTACACATGGCTTCAGCATCCTACTGTTGAGGACTATGGATGTCAGTTTGCCAAAGTGTGGACTACTTATACTTCTGTTGACATGATCATGAAAATTTTTCCGGAGAGGGAGGGGGCAAATTATTGATTAAATAAAAAATTCATATCCAGATGCTGAATGAATAAAGAATGAATTAGGTTTTTCATTTTTTCATTTTTCAGGTGCGGGCAAGTGCCCCTCCTGCCCCCCCCCCCCCGCCGTGGACGTCCATGGGCATAATTCTTGTCTAATTTCTACTCAGTTTAATCCGAATTTCTCACACCGCCGACTACTATATACATCGGTGTATTCATTTTAGTTTTAAAATATTATACTTAAAAGACAATTATTTTCCGTAGTTAAGACAAACCATTTAATGCTTAACAATTATTTGTATAAACAGAAAACAATATAAGAAAAACCTGAGTACCTGAGAACATAAAATTTTGCAATAGAATCATAATATGTATAGTTTTAAACAAATCAGTAAATGTACTTCTGTCTCATGCTTCTCTCTAGCCTTGCACAGAAAATCTTTATCTGTGATTCAATACTGAATATATTCTTCAAATAACATTTTGTAAGTTACTTAATATGTGTTCTACATTTCTTACTCGATTATTTACAGTTCATACATTTGTACTAAATATTACTCGTTTCATTTTAAAATTGTGTTTAGCGCAAGAAACCAGATCAAAAACGAAATTTGCTGTAAGAAAATATATGACCACAGACATTTTCTGTTACGAGTTAAAGGATACTGACAGGAACTGTCATTGGACAGTTTTCTCTTTTACAGTATGTAATTATACATCTCAGTATATATATGTATATATATATCAATCTATGATTTGACTTGCATAATTCAGAACATGTTCTCATTAACAGTAAAGAGCCTTACTACCAGGTCCTTTTGAGAAAATGTTTTCTTTTCAACAACTAGTTGGTAAAGGTATTGTATTTGCCACGAAGCTATTTCTCTCTCTCTTTCCCTCTTTGCTTGGATACTAAGTGAATTGGACAAGTATTACAACATACCAATGGGATTTTATAGAGAAAAGTCGATTCACTTCTCGAAAACCCTTGGTTTGAAAACGAACCAGCCTGAAAATTTTAAATCAAGTTATGTGGGTTATATTTTGGCACTTTACGTTTTGGAACGTCTTGACCACACAGCTATTATACTGTTCTTATGCTTTCAACATCAGTGTCAAAAAAAAAATAATCCTAAAACGTCTCTTATCCGGAGAAAAACACCAAACACATGAAGATGGGTATAAGATTTTAAAATAAAGAATATGACGTATTAAGTCATAAAACGAGGATTCACCCACTGCAGGATGTGAATGAAATAATACCGAATTATTTGTAACCGCTAAAAAACACTCAAGTTTCGTTTCCAAATAAAGTTATTTAAATACCAGGATACATTTGTATTATTTTAAAATAGTCATATTACTTTTGAGTATTGAAGAAAAGGACTAAATCGTTTTTAAGTCACTATATTTATATAACATAAATCGTTCAAACTTAACTTTTGCCTTATCTGGAGCCTAGTAAACAAACGTGTTAATAAAGACAAATGACATTATTAGAGTGTTACAAAGGACAAAAGTGTTAATAAAGACAAATGACATTATGAGAGTGTTACAAAGGACAAACTTGTTAATAAAGACAAATGACATTATGAGAGTGTTACAAAGGACAAACGTGTTAATAAAGACAAATGACATTATGAGAGTGTTACAAAGGACAAACGTGTTAATAAAGACAAATGACATTATGAGAGCGTTACAAAGGACAAAAGTGTTAATAAAGACAAATGACATTATGAAAGTGTTACAAAGGACAAACGTGTTAATAAAGACAAATGGCATTATGAGAGTGTTACAAAGGACAAAAGTGTTAATAACGACAAATGACATTATGAGAGTGTTACAAAGGACAAACGTGTTAATAACGACAAATGACATTATGAGAGTGTTACAAAGGACAAACGTGTTAATAACGACAAATGACATTATAAAAGTGTTACAAAGGACAAACGTGTTAATAATGACAAATGAAATTATGAGAGCGTTACAAAGGACAAACGTGTTCATAAAAAAATGACATTATGAGAGTGTTACAAAGGACAAACGTGTTGATAAAGACAAATGACATTATAAAAGTGTTACAAAGGACAAACGTGTTAATAAAGACAAATGAAATTATGAGAGCGTTACAAAGGACAAACGTGTTAATAAAGACAAATGACATTATGAGAGTGTTACAAAGGACAAACGTGTTAATAAAGACAAATGAGATTATGAGAGTGTTACAAAGGACAAACGTGTTAATAAAGACAAATGACATTATGAGTGTTACAAAGGACAAACGTGTTAATAAAGACAAATGACATTATGAGAGCGTTACAAAGGACAAACGTGTTAATAAAAACAAATGACATTATGAGAGTGTTACAAAGGACAATGGAGTTATATTGGACACATATTACTTATTTAATTATTAATCAACAGTGTTCAATAATTCATGAATGTTCATTTAATACATTATGAGATCATAATAAATTATCCAACACATTAAACTTTAAGTTTCACGTTCATCAACAGCGTTAAGTTACTTACATCCATAACTAAGAAAATTTCTAAACAAAAACTGGTTTGTTAAAAAGAGTATGATTCAAACCAACTAACTAATCAAGGATCCTAACAGCTCTTTTGTGTGATTCAGATATCGCGTTTTCATTAACTTATGAGACTAGCTAATTCAATTTGTTGAGCATGTGTCCATTTGGCAGGAATATATGAGGTTGAATCTTGTTGGGTCTAAATCTGCATAACAAAACATATGCCAAAATATTGAAGTTCAATAAACATTTTATGTCATATTTAATTGTAAGATTATATGAATGAACGCCTCAATATATACATAAACCTTACTACGTCTGTCATATCCAGTGCCGACAAGGCTTTTCGCCTATAATCGAAGTTCATTAGGCCGGCTGAGATCCGACAGACATAGTAGTGATCTAAGCGCTACTTATGTCACCAGTTTTACTTAGAAATCACCATAGTATCCCAATCTACAAGTAAGTGTTTCCATGTACATGTTACTCTCCATGTCGAAACGTTTTTAGCATAGGGCATACATTTATTTAGGTCATTAGTTAATATCTGTTTTGAGCGAAATAGTTAGATGTAAACACAAGTTAAAGTGCGAGCAGTTTTTTTTTATTTTTATTTTCATATTTTGTTTTTTAAATATAATGATATTAGAATTGTCGTTGGGGGTCCATGCGCAATGTATTTTACTTTTACAGACATTTTTCTATTTATGCCTTTAATTGCTTGTGGGTCCATGACTGTTGATTACCTGATTCATAATAATATATGACTCACACACACACACATACAAAAACTACTGAAAATACTACAGTTAATTCCATTAATTATTGTTGGAGTTCTATATGCATCTTACACAGAAAATGAGTGATTCACTCAATGTTGCCAGTTCTTAATATTAATTATTGTTGGAGTTCTATATGCATCTTACACAGAAAATGAGTGATTCACTCAATGTTGCCAGTTCTTAATATTAAGTGCTCTGATAAGCTTTAAGATACATTTACTCAATTCATGCAATATGTGGACATCATAGTCATATTGAACGATATGTAAACGAGCCGGTAATTTGACGCTAGCATCTTGCATAATATAATACTTTAATATTTTATAAATATTATTTTGTAGGAATTTCCGTATCAATGTAAAATGTTTGTGACTTGTTCAAAACAGAGGCCCGTACTACCACAAAGTCGCTTTTCCATTGTAAAATTTACAATTATTGCAAATAAATATGCAATGCTATCTTAAATGTAATTTATGAAGTCAATTTCATCCAGTAACTAAGGAATAACAACGAATGTTTACTGGTATACAGTATATTTTTAAAGAATATGTGTAGAATAAAAAACTTAAATAGTTTAATATTTACCTGTGTGCTAGCCCATATAAA